CCCCCCCCCCCCCCCCCCCCCCCCCCCCCCCCGCTCCACTTTCTCCCTCTTGGCGCAGCTACTTTAACTGTGTGCGAGCAAAACTCTTTCACAATTTGCCGCCATCCACGGACCCACACTGGGAAATAACTGCATGGCTCTCGAAATCATGATATAAAAATTAAAGTAGCTTCTTAGTTGCATTCTGTTTTGTTAAGTGATGCTGATAACCTTTGGCTTCCTCGCTACTGTTCACGTTGGAGGAGGGCTGCTGCAGCTCCGGTGGTCCGAGCAACAACGATTCTGTATAAGTTGAAGGAGGAGGTGATCTAGCTGTTTTTTCCTGTGGTGATCGTGCTGGTTCGAGTACCAGTGCTGTAAATCAACGATCGATAAGCAAACGTTCTGAAGGTAAAGTACCAGTGAAGACAACGTACGGCTAATTAAAATTGCAAACCTCAGTCCGTAGCACGCTGGCTGCTCTTCTCTGTGCTGCTGGTTGCCACGGTTAGAATTCGGTTAAAATTTTGCAGGCGGAAATAAGCTTGTGGCAAAAATGCGGTACTCAGTTTAAGAACGAGCCACGATTGCGTCAGTTTTAGTTTCGTAACGCTGTATTCGAAAAGCGCAGCTCAGCCACCGTAGTAGCAAACAGAGACAGCCTTTCAGCATGTTTCGTTGACCAGAAAGGCGTTTTCAGTGCAGTAGCTATTTCTGTTTCTTACGCAGCATATCTTGATTATGTTATTCTTTTCGCGGCCCAAGCGATCTCACTTGTGTCTGATGTGCGTTACTTTTGCGATAAAATAATTTACGTCAAAATATTTGTCGCAAATCTGCAGTAACGCAGGTGCAAAATTAAGGGAATCAGATGGAGCCTACACGCTCTCTGCACTCCTTTACCCTTTAGTGGTTTCTGGATTATTCGTCAACAAAACAACGATACAGTGCAGATCGTTCTTAATACAGGAAATTAATAGCAGTCGGAAATTTTGATTGTCCCGTAAAAGAGCTGTTCATCTGAATAGATAAACTCTGAACTGAATTTAAATGCCAGCGATAGGAGACGATAGTGTGACTTACTTCTTTTGTGAACAACGAATTTGATGTGTGTGCCTGCTATTTTAGATTACACGAAAAAATTCCCAAAATTTGAAATCCCGAAGTTGAACTGTGTCATCGATAGTTCAAAATTCAAATGCAATATGCGTGTGTATGTTTGTGCATATAAATGTCTGTGTGTTTATGTTGGCGTTTGAGCTTGCTTGTGTGCATGTTTAATACAAGCAGAAACAAAGTACTTTTAAGCAGACATAAAACGCACAAGCTGATAGTGCATTGTTAAGGAATCTTGCGTTTGTGGAGGAAAAAAAAACAAGTCCCTCCTGACCGATGCTTATTTATTAAAATTATACTTGCTCTGTCAAGGCTGGGGTGGCCTAATAAAACAGCGAAATTGGAAATGTTCTTAATGAAAACAACGGCTTGTTCGTAACTGCCAACGAAGTTTTGGCAGAGAGAATCAAAGAATTCAGCATATGTGCGGTGTGTGGTCTGGTTCCACTTCAAGACGTTTTCTCATCAAACATGAAGTTCAACTTAAAGAGGAGGCTTTGTTTGACAAGTAGTCAGACGTAAAACTCACATCTGCTATGCGTAGCATCAGCGCTTCGTCCAGTCGGCTCAAAACTTCTGTTTGTATCAATCAAGCTGCGTGTTGGCTCCAGACTTTGCTCTGTTATGTCCGCTGTTCTAGATAAATCCACCACGCGAGAGATATCAGAGTCACCGCTGTGAGATGCATCAGTAATGCGACGCGGCACGTTTTCAGTTCGGGGACTGCCTTCAGCACTCGCTTTTGGCGATACATCAGCCTTTCCAGCATCCTCCACACTGCGATTTAGCTCCGTTCTTCGAGGATAATCGGTGCTGGGAGAGAAGGCTGGATCTCGGGATCGGGACATATCTATGGCATATGAAGTGTCACTAGCTCTGAAAATTTCTTCAGCGCTAGCTATGCTTGCATCAGGACTAGTTGCTGGATCCGTGCCGCTTTTCTTGATAGGCTTTTGTAGACGATCCTTGAGTTTTTTACTCGTTTGAATTGTTTTTCTTGTGGGCCTGCAAACCTTATTTCTTCAAAACACCTGGAATAAGTCTGAAAATCTCTTAGTAATTATACCGGTATTCAGACCGCTGCGGTGAATAAAGACACACACAAGGATTAATCACGACGGAAAATGAATGTACCAAAAATTGGTCGGCAGTTAAATGAAACACATGAAAAGGAAAATGGCCAGTCTCTCAAATTATGGTGAACGTATGAAGCAAGACGACAAACAATGAACAGCAGAACAATGACGAAACTGCAATAAAAGTTTTATAATCAGTAAGATCTCGGACTTCACCAGCGACCATTGAAAGTATTTTACTGGAGCGAAGCTCAACCCAACTACATAACATTCGTTCGCTTTAAATATTTCAAATTTATTATCTTTTTAAGTACTCACTGCTATGATATCGTTCTGCCCCGCCTAACACAGAAACAAATCAGCAAGGACGCTCTGAGTGTTCTTATTAAAACCTAAGCTGTTACAGAGCACAACTACTTAGTACCCTCTAATCCTGTGTCTCATACCAGCCTGTCACATGTACGCGCACAATTTCCTCGGACATCGGTTTTTTGCTTTATCGCAGTTATTTATTAATAAGCCACTAATGTCAGCAGAAGGCGCTTTTTCTGCCTAGCAAATTTACTTAGAAAAAAATTGGTAAGGAAATGCTCCGACGTAACGGCAGTGATTATACACGACAAACTCATGTTGTGGTTTGTTGACCAACAATGCACTGATTAATCGTTTGATTAATCGTTCCCTGAAAATCGCCACTGGGAAAGCCGAACATAAAAGGGCTCACAGAAATTGAATGTAGTATTCATTAGCTGTATTATCCTGTACAGTATCTCAGCTTATGACATTCAGCGAAAAAGGAAGCAGTGGCGTCTCCTTACACGTAGAAGAAGGCTTTAATACCGCTTGTGTGTAAAAGCAACCGAAAAAAATTAACCGGAGCGGTAAATTTGAAAGGCAAAATTGAGCATTAAAATGGATGAAAGATTTAGCCCGAAAGGCAAAAATCTTATTTTATTCGATAGAAGCCGCTGAATTTGTTAGAATCTTGCAAAGATTTTTGCCAAAATAATGTAAAGTTTAGCGAGAAGCAAAAATTTCGGTTATGTTAGGGCTTGATTGATGGTCAAAAAGACAATAGGGAAACTGAAAGTGGCTAAATTGTGTAAGAAAAAAGCAAAAATTAAAGGCGAAAGCAGAAAATTTAGAGATGAAACACTGGTAGTTGCATATTTTAGAAAACTGATTCAAAAAGTGGAAATTTTGGCTTTTTGAGACAACAATTATTGAGTGTGGGATTCTGTGCATGCTCATGCGCCACCATAATTACCAAGATCTTCTAGCTAGAAAAAATTTCGATGTTATTTAGCCTACGATCCGATCCATGCATGATTACTATAGAAACAACTTGCGTTTCAGATCCTTCCAATTTTCCGCTTCCACTTTTTCCTTTTTCAGACATCTGCAACGTTCGTAGTGCCGAAACCGAGAAAAATAATTTAAATTAATTAGAGCTGCACAGCTTTGACAGCACTTCCCCATTTCTTAATGAAGCGATTTTACTCAGATAGCTTTCCATTCTTTTTTGCAAAGGGCACTATCTACTCATTTTGTTTGAGAACATTCATTCCGGTGTTAATACTTTTTAAACTACTTTCCAACCTTTCTGGCAGCTTCAATGACAGTATTTCTGGAAAAAGAGCTAGTTTTATAAACTTCATTATTTGGTAATAAATGGCACTTTCCCGTTTAGATGCATTTTTATTTTTTCGCGTTTTTGCCTGTATGCAAATTGCAAAAACACAAATTGCGACAACCCTGTGTGTGTATGTGTTTCTGCAAGCTTGTATATGTGTTTATGTGTGCATGTATGTGCATGCGTGTATGCGTGCATATGTGTGTGTATGTGTGTGTGCCTGTGTGTGGGTATGTCCGTCCGGGTATTTCAACTCGGCAACCAAGCAAGCTCCGGCGCTAAAATTTTGCTAGTGGGCTCACCGGCCAATTGCAACTTTAGGACCGGGGTATCAACCCTCACGCAAGTCTGAACCCCGTATACGAGAGGGCAAAAGTTTTGGCGGGAAAATTGCTAACTTGGAAATGAGAAAAGATAGAAAGCTGAAATTTTGAGGCCATGTTTCTCGCCCACATGTAACTCAAAGATTTCAAATTCAGTCCCCAGGTGTGCGTGGTTCCCGCGTACGGTCCCGTGAGGCTTCCTGGCGCAAAAATCGCCAACTTGGGAACCAGGAAGCCATGAGGCTGAAATTTTAAGATGATGTACCCAGCCCATGCGCAACATAAATTTATCAAATTCAGCCCCCAAGAATGCGTAGATCTCAAGTACGGCCTCGTGAAAATTTTTGGCAGGAAGAATTACTAACACGGAAACCAGGAGAGTCGGGAGGCTGGAATTTTAAAGAGATGTTCCCAGCCCAAGTACAACCTAGAGATTTCAAAGTCAGCTCTCCAGTATGCCTCCAGGTCACGCGCGGCCCCGTGGAAGTTTTGACGGGAAAATTGCTAACTCGGGAACCAGAAGAGCTGGAAATCTAAGATTTTAGGAGAATATTCCCTGTCCAGATAAGACTTGAAGATCTTAAATTCAGCCTCCAGATACGCGTGGTTCTCGTGTACGGACACTTAAATTTTCGGCGGGAAAATTTCTGATCAAACAGCTGGGTCATTTTCAAACCCAGGCTGGCTTGTCTGTGCGATCATGCGTTTTTGCACTAAACTTGCAGGTCGCTAACAGAACGAATGATCTTTGCGCTCTGCCCTAACACATGTGCTTTGGCTCCTTCCGGCATGCAGGAAGAAAGGCGTCGGTTGGAATGAAAGTGGTGCATATAGAGCCGCACGTACGTTCAGGTACATGATTACCAGTTTTTATGCGTTTTTGCCTATATGCAAATTGCAAAAACGCATATTGGG